ATTTAGCCTGCTCTTAGGAAGAGTTAATTCAATTTGCTGGTCCAGTTCTGTGTTGGTAATTGATGGATGAGAGACCCTTGGAATGAAGGAGACGTGCTCTCTATTTGCTCTAGGGAGCCGTGCTTTTCCTTACTGTGCAGATGATGCAACCAAAAACAAATATTTGCTATCTGAGTTAACGTGACGACTCCCAACCACCAAGATCGCTGATGCACAAGGATTTTCTTTTGGGAAAGAGCAGGGAGAGGAGTGGGGGGGGGATGGAAAGTAGCTGGAAAAATGGCTTTGAATCATCCACCCTCTCTCCTCACAGCTACTCAGCTCCTGAAGTTGGCTCACAAATACAGGCCAGAGACGAAGCAGGAGAAGAAACAGAGGCTGCTGGCCCGAGCCGAGCAGAAGGCTGCCGGGAAGGGGGACGTCCCCACCAAGAGGCCTCCTGTACTGAGAGCAGGTAATCCTTTTTAGCAGCGGTCTCCTCTTGTGCTCAGCTAGCTGAAGGGGCCGGCTCCCTGGATATTGCCCTTTTTTCAGTGACGGGCCCATCGGCTACCTGTATGAATTTCATCACCAAACGGATGAGCTTTTTAACCCCGAGCTATAGCCGGTTGCCCCGTTTCTGCGTACTTAGTGTTCCGATGACCAAGGATGCGTTAACCATCCTCCGTAGAGGCACAAAGCCAGTCGGTTTCCTAGAGTCCGCCGGTCCTAGGAATCCTGTTTCTGAACGGCACCAAATCCTGTGTTGCAGGCGTCAACTCCGTGACCACTCTGGTGGAGAACAAGAAAGCGCAGCTTGTGGTGATTGCTCACGACGTAGACCCCGTGGAGGTAAGAGCTGACACCAAGTAGATTGGAATGATGATGATGGTGTGTGTGTTTAGGAGCGGCACCCATATTGTCATTTACAAAAACTGGGCTCGGCTCTTGCAATGATGTTTGAATTTCTTCACCTGAACTCAACCGTGAAGAGTAAAAATACGAGCTTTTTAACCCTGAGCAATTGCCGGAGCCCGGTTGTCGCGGATTTTGGCGCTGTGTTGCCCCTTTAATATCTAAGCAGTTCCGCTCTGCTCTGTTGTAGCTGGTGGTGTTTCTTCCGGCCTTGTGCCGAAAAATGGGAGTGCCCTATTGCATCATCAAAGGCAAAGCCAGGCTGGGCCGCCTCGTCCATCGGAAGACCTGCACCAGCATCGCCTTCACGCAGGTTAATCCGTAAGTAGCCTTCAAAAGCCGAGTTAATAGAAGAGCTAATCCTGATGCACGTGTGTAAAGGATTCGGTCTGGCTCTGGAGTCTGCACACGAGTTGAACAGTAGATTTTTCACAATGCAGTGGGGCTCCTGTATCTGTTACACCTGAACAAGTAATGCTTTGATCTCTCTGAAGCCGCCTCAATACCTACGCAATGGCATCAAGATACATCG